AGCAGCTGCCATTTCAATAGAATTAAAGCTTCCGAATGATAAACGTCTTGTCACAGCTGCAATTTTCTCTTCCCAAATTGTCCCCCCACTCTCCCTCTCCTTCTCTCTCCCTTCTCCCCTCCCCACTCTCCCTCTCTCCCTCTCCTCACCCCCCACCCCACTGCACCTGTAGCATGCGCACACTTCGCTTTTCTCCCTCTCTGGCTCAGACACTTCCCGCTTCCTCTTTCTTTCTGTCACATTTCACCCTCTTTGTCACTTTCCCCCCCTGACTCCTACCCACACCCCCACACCCCCACAGCCTGGCATGGGACCCAACGTCCAGCTGTGCAGTAATTGGCTGAGTGGAAGGGGACTCCCAGCTGTGGCCCAGTGCTGGCTTCAACCCACAGCTGGAGGGCCTGCCCAGGGAGGGCTGCAAGCATCCTCTCACCTTGGGTGCCCAGCTCCCAGCCACCTCGAATGAGGCTAGAGGAGAGAGAGAACTAGTTTCCAGGGGAAAACTTAGGTAATTCTGGAATCAGTGGAACTTCAGAAAACAGAGTAGATTTGTCGTAGCTGAGGGAAAGGATTGGTGGGGCCGGGCGGGGGGAGGGGGCTCGTGGAAAAGGGGCTTTTCTGAGTTGGGAAAATAATGCCCACCTTCCAGTTGAGAAAGCGTAGACTCAGATGGGACAGCTTAGCTCTTACACAGGCTGCTTTGCGAACCACGGTGACATCATGGAGGGAGCCTTGGTGGGCAGGGTGACCAAGGGTGTTGTACGAGGCCTGGGGGTGCCAGCCCCGTGTCGGAGAGGCCGGCAGTCAGATGGGCTGCCCCAGGTTGCTTGGGGAACCTGGTACATGGAGGGGAGTTTCTAGAGAAGCGAAAGGATGCCGCTTCAGCTGGCTGTAAGTTTCAGACATGTGCTAATAATGATTGCCACACCGTGCTAAGCCACCCTGTCACTATGGGCCCAGCCTTGTGCAGAAAACAAGGTCATAGCCCCCGAGAGCTCTGAGGGCCCGGCTTCTGGGGAAGGCTGTTGTAGCCGCGTCCACGTCACCAGCATCTCGGAATGAAAGAAGAGCCTCCAAGCTGGTCTCCTGGACTCCACTCTTGCCTGCCTGCAATTCACCAAGCAACGCAGGCGATCGCTGAAAAGTATACCTTAGGTTAAGCGTCTCTGAGACTCTCCTGCTGAAAACCCTCCCTCGAGTTCCTATGGTAGAATAAAATCAACTCCCCTTATCACCATCCACATGGTCTGGCCACAGCTCCCGGCCTCCCTCACCTGGAATGCTCTTTTGCCACCCACAGCTGCTCAACCGCCAGAGAGGCCAGGAGGCCTAGTCATCTCACCGTGTTTGTCATAGCACCCCTTTTTATTGTCATGAACACACTACTATCTAAAATTACTTGGTTTATATGCTTCTCGTTGGCGTGAACTCACCAGAAAGTAACCACCAAAGGAGCAGGAACCTTGTTTGTATTATTCCGTGTCCCCGCAGAACCTGGAATGACACCTGGCACATGGTAACAAATGCCCAGTCAGTGTCGGTTGAATGAGCGGATGAATAGATGCTATAATGAAGGGGTTTAGAGAAGGGAAAAGTTAGCTGACCGATGCTGCTGAGGGAAAAAAAGATTATCTTCAGAGAGGAGCGGTTTGAGAGCCAGATCTTAAAGGGAAAAGCCACATGTCACAAGGTGGAGAAGGGAAGGGCCGTGGGGGCAGGGGAAGTAGCACAGACGGGCAGAGAGCATGAAACGGCCTGGACCTTTCAGGGAACGCAGCCTGTGGCAGTCAGGCAGGGCTCGGCTGGCGGGGGGCTTGAAAGACCCGACAGGGATGGGAGTTTGGACTTTACCTTGTGAGCAATGGGTCTATGGCAGGCTTTCAGGCTGGGTGGCTGGAAAGGCTGGGAGGCGACTTCTGGAGACAAGGTCCGGCGACTTTTGTCTCTCCGAAGGGCTCTCTGGGCAGAGGGAGCAGATGAGAGCCGCCCTTGGAACAATGGTGGTCATAGAATGCGGCGGGTGTGGGCTCCGTAAAGAATGGCTTTTTAAGGATCAAAGAGAGAAAAAAGGGCTCCATGTGGGTGGGGTGACTGTCCACTCCTATTCGGAGCCCCTCCCAGAGGGAGGGTGATCTGTCTGCCACCAATATGTCAGTGGAACTGATTTGTGTCACTTCCATGCAGAGGCCCTGGGACAGTGTTTGCCATGTCCCTTTCCTCTGTGTCCTGAGAGTGGCTCTGTTGAGGCGATGTTTCCCGGAGGGGCTGCTCTGTCACCTTGGGTCCCAGAGTGAAGTCCCGGAACCCCCTCCAGCCCCCAGTGAACATGTCACGTGAGTGAAAGGTCAGTTTGGTGTGGGCCATTTGCATTTCTGGAGTCATTTGAGATTGCTGGGTCACCCCAGTCCCTTGGTTTTCCTTCCTGTGACAGGGGTTCTGTTAAGCTGGTTCCGACACTTACTAGCTGTGATAGATTTTCAAAGGCAGCCCCAACAGTTTGGCCCAAGCTGTTTTGCGAGGTGACAGCACCTCCCGTCAAGGAGTCGGTGGCCTTCCTGTGGTCTGGGTTTGCCTCGCAGCTTGCTTTGACAGGTGGAACCCAGAGGAAGTGAGGCTGTGCCGCTTCCGAGGTTAGGCCGGTAGAGGCCTCCATGCTTCAGCTTTGACTCTGGAAAATGCTGAGACCAGCAGGCTGTGAGGACATCTGGGATGCGGGGTCACGTGGAGACAGAGGGCCACCTGTTTCAGCCCTCAGAGCCCTATGGCTGAGCGCAGGCAGGACCAGCAGGAGAACCACCCAGGAAACCCACAGAACTGGGAGAAATGACATGTCCTTGTTTTAAGCCAGTAAATTTGGCAGTGGTTTGTTACAAAGCAGTGAATCACAAGATAAGGGACCTTAGGGGGAATCATGTCATATCCCTGAGCCCGTTTCCTTGACAGAGAAATAAGTATAAGAGTGATGTCTGTCCCCAAGAGCCTGGATGGGACTCAGATGAAAAAAGAAATGGATGTTAAATTCACTTATTCACTCAACCCATGTCTACTGAACCTGCTGTGTGTCAGGCCCTGGGTTAGCTCTGGGATACAGTGATGAATGAGATAGACAGGATCAGACATGCTAGAAGGAGAAAGATGATAAACAAGCCAGGTAGCTCCAGCTGAAGAGAATTGCTGGGAGGAAAGCAAGCTGGGTGGTGTGCTTGAGAGTGGCAGGAGTCCTACTCTAAGACAGGTGGAGAAGCGCTTTCTGAGCGGTGGCTTTGAGCTGAGTCGGGCATATGAAGATAAGGGGAACAGCGTCCCATGTAGAAGGAGCAGTTAGTGCAGATGCTCTAAGGACATGAGAAGGTCGTCATGGCTGAGTGTCTGAGGAGACGGACAGTGGCTGGTGCTGGTACAACGCCATGGTGGGGCATGTGGATTTCATCCTAAATGAAAAGGAGCCGTGAGAGGATTTTAATAGGGAAGTGGCCCCTCCATACACCGTAAATGAGTTATTGCTGGAGGCAGTCTATAGCTGGCCGCCAACAGATCGGGATGACATTTGCGACCCCTTCAAGCTCTAAAAGTTTCCAGTTCTGTACTAGATTTGAAAACTGCTAAGCACTTTGATCATATAAGAAGTCATCATTATTAGTAAGAGGCTCCCCACCTTGCAGGAGGGCTTTGGGACCCGATGGCCTCAAATTTCCCCTTCCTCTCAATGTGTGATAAGAACAGTCTTTCAAAGGAAGTTGGAAGAAGTTTGTCATGGTCAGGAAATCCAAACTACTTTTTGACCAAAGGAGGGAAAAAAAACCAACAAAAAACACCTGCTTTTTTCAGATGAGTAATCTCTGCAGAGTGTGACAGCTTCAAATTGAAAAAAGAAAAAAATTACAACAATTAAGATACTGAATGACATGGGATAGTGGTTGCATTTACCACAGTGGTCTGCAGAACATTCCAGCGAAACCCACCAGCTGTTATTATTGGTTGTTTTTTGCCGGTGCCCTCGGCTCTAGGGTAGTGCAGGGTTTGTGGTGGGGCGACTGAGAGTGGCCAGCGTGCACGGGGTGCAGTATTCCCTGGCCACCATGTGCTCTGAGTCTTGAGAGAGTCTTTGGAAAGGCCTCAGGGCTGGGAGTCCCCAGACCGCAGCGGGTTCCTGCCCCACCAAGCTGCTCCACAGAGCCCAGCTGTGGCTATGTCCCCCATGTCGGCAAGATTGCTGTAGCTCACAGGATGGGAAGGAATGCAGTTTATCCACTGGCTACCATCTTCTGTCTACTGTGCTGGGTTCTTTGTATACATCATCTCACATAATTCTCACCATAGCCCCGTGAGGTAAAACTATGATTTTGCCTGGGTTACAGAGAAGGAAACTGAGGCTCAGAAAGTCAGCTTTCTCCAGGGTCTCATAGCTGCCTGGGGGATTCACTTGGCCAGCTCCAAAGCCCCTGCTTTTAAGCACTGTGCTCTCCTGCCCGCCCCCCCCCCTCTTGGCAAAATAGATTGTTCTGTGGGCACCCAGAGTGGGAAATGCTGCATTCAGCCTGGGTCCCTGGCCAGACAGCTCACCCTGTGGATTTGGGACTTGTCGGCCCACTTAATGGCATGAGCCAATTCCTTAAAATAAACCTCTTTCCCTCTGTATACACATCCTATTGGTTCTGCTTGTCTGCAGAAGGCTGACTAATACACAGAAGAGGCGCTATTAGCCACCCCCTGAAGCAAGGATGGAAGAGAAGCTTTAGGGCAGCTGGACACGCGCTGACTGACACGGGCGGCCCAGACCGGGATTCGAGTAAGAGAACCGTCACCCAGAGTACAGAACAAGCCAGGCCGAGGAA